AACGGAACTGAACGCATTGCCAGCCGTGCAACAACAACAGAAAAATGACTGTTACACTTTATTTATCGCCATGATTATCAGAACCGTTGAAGTCAAATGCAAATCATTCAAAGAGGTGAATAAAACGAATTGGGAAAAGAATATGTGTGGACTGTAAACAGCACACGTTTGCTTGTGCTGTTGAGATAGAGAGCGGCCGACAAATATTGAAATCGGGGAAAAACGGAGCCGTTTTAATCGTTGGCATTGGTTCTAGTGCACGAGAGTTTATGTGCAATGCACAGGTTAAACGAATGTATGAATAAAAAAATCATTCAGAAAGCCGGATATCGCGTCCGTTTTTTTTTCTGAGGGTTGATTTTCAATGTTTTTTACGGTGGTTTTTTTTTATTGTTTGGCTGATCAACGAGCAAATTTCAAGAGGGAGAAATCCAAAATTCAAAAAGTAAATGATTTGCTTCCGGCTCAGCATTCGTGACACACAAAAATCAACGAGCCAAATGCCTAAAAATCGATTGTAACGGTTGCACAGTTCCACTTTACGTGGTTCATATATGATTCAAATAACGATTTTGATTCGTTAACATACGTTTATTTTTCTCTTTTCTTTATTAAAATTTAATTATGCGTTACGTAATGCAAAGTCACAAGCCAAAGCACGAGCCAAACAACCACATTGTCAACAAGGAACGGGATAGAAAAAAAATCTATTCAAATATTAACCAGTTTTGGTTTCATTTCAAGATTTTTATCGCAAAAAATAAATCTAATCGAAAAATATGCCGTGCATCACTTCAAATTCACGCCGATAAAGATCGCACAGCTTTGGATTGCCTTTTTCGGTGCATTTTATTGGTTTGCAATACAAAAAAAAAACACACGACAAAAGAGCATTATTGGATTACTCTGTTCAAATTCAAACCAACCGCAGAAATAACTACAATCAAAAGATTAAAAAATGTTGAATGCCACTATAAACAAGATTTTCACAATCACACAGTGGTTTAATTCATAGGAAAGGAGCGTGTTTTCATTACGCTCACTTTGATCCATTGTCATTGGCAAAACATGTTTAATTTCATAGAAACTGTTGCAAGGGATCGTATCGACCTAATCGTGAGCCATTTAAATCTTTCGCCAAATTAGATTTCAATGCATTTTAATTGGATTTAAATTGAATCCTTCAAATGGGTACTGTAAAGGGTAATGAGCTACAGTCAAGCTGCAATTCTTTGATAGAAAAAATTAATAAAGTTCAAGAATATTATTTCGATGGATGAATAAAGAGGAGTCTATTAATAAATCAACAAATTATTATTAAATTGAATTTCATTCTTGAATTTTGCGTGGGAAAAGCTCTAAATATTCATTTCTCTAATTGTCTTCTCCAGAAGCCTCCGTAGATATTCATCCAAAAAATCCATAAGTCACCACAAAATGCGCGTTCTTTTGTTTCACATCCAATTTCCCACGCTGTGCGTTGCATTCGTTTCGACTTTCGTCGGCATAGTCTAAAGTCTCTCTCTTTCTCTCTCACACACACAATAAGCGTCTTCACTTCACTTAACTCGAATGCAGTGACATATGGTCGTTTTGTAAAGCCATCTTTGAGGCTACGCATACCTTTAATCGGGCTAGTGTATCGTGCGACGTGTTCTACTATTAAAAGTACATATTTTTGTTTTGTTCCTCCACATTTTGCCTTGCTCTTTGCGGCATTCGAAACAAATAGTTCACATGGAAAGAAGTAAGCATCGACTATAAGAATTCCCAATTTCTCATAGTGTTCACATCGCCTTCTCTGTAATTTGTCGAAATGTGTGCCATTCGCCTTTATATTTTTTAAGGAACAACATATGGTAAAACCGTTAGCGTTCGTTCCGGATTTCTAAATATTCTAAATACCTGTGTTCATTATTATGCATTTCTCTTTGAGTTGTCGTAAGATCCCCTTTGCGTTGTGCACATTTGTCGTTTGGACATAGCGCACCATTGCAAGGGTGGACGACATTCATCGTTCTGTGTTTGTTTCTTTCGCCTTTACTTTCTTTGTTACGCTTGTTTGTTTATATTCGTCAGCAATAATATTTCGCAAGAGAACATCTGAAATGCTAAAGACGGCATTTGACTTTGTTGAGAATAAAAGCGTGGGATTTTTTTCAACCCCCGAAAAGAGACCTAGTGGCTTAATTCAGAAAAAAATAGGTATAAAAGGAAACACACACTTCAGTGGGTTATAGTTCAATTTCGATTGCATGAACTTGGACAATTTTCAAACTTGATTTCAATCAGACTCGTGTCTAAACCTCATTTTTTCGAAACGGAGACAAAACAAAACGTGTTTTTTTTTATATTATTGAAACCATCAATTCAATTGATGTGAAATTAAATCATTGAAGTGGTATGTTTTCACCTGCGATTGAGTTGCTCTATTTGATCGAATGCCAAATGGTAATCGCCCGCCGTTGCCGTCGTCGCTTTGAATCACATATCATTTCTCAGCATGAAAATATGAAATTCAATAACAACAACAACAACAACAACAACAACAAAACGCACAATTGAGTATTCAAAAGAGGGAAACGAAATACTTGCAACAGTTGCTCGAAATCAATGAAGGCTGCACAGTCAATGCATTGAATGTGGATATGTTTGTGAATTGGCTTTTACCCTTAATTAACACTGTGTTTAAAGGCTATTCGTTGCCTCAAGTCTGTCTCTCTCACTTGCTCCCTTCATACAGTTGTTACGATTCTCTTCCTGAATCAGCATACAGTGTAATGTGCGTGGTCAGTTGAATCACAAACACAATCACATGTCGGTTAATTCATTTGAATCGCTTTTCATGAGCTCATGAGCTGCACGTATTTTTTCGAAAGAACTGGTGAAATTGAAAAACATGTTGGCGTTACGTAATCGGATGCATACGTTTCGAAAAAGGACTTTTTGAAGTTTCAATGAAATCGGTGGTGCTCTATGATCTGAGCGTATGATAGACGGGACAAAGAGACACACAGTATAACGACGAAACAAAAAAAAACAATAAAAAATAACAATAATTAATAATCGCATGCGATAGCAACAGAGGAGGGGGTGACCACAGCACGGAATTCACTTACACCAATGCAATTGTACACACGTGAATTTCACCTTCAGTCAAGTAGGTGGATGCGACGGTAGTCCGCTTCTAGAGACTACCGTGTGTGTGTGTATCGATGTAGATCACACCGAACGATGAAACGTGTACACGGTTCACCTTTAATGTGAATTTACGTGGTGCGCTATCCGCTATCCCCTGTCAATTTGCATGTTAATTTGTTAGAATGCAACAGAACTATCGTTCGAACACCACATTTTTTTCCGCATCGAGAAATGCTATCGTTTGATTGTTTCTTCGGTTAGCTTCAGTGTGACTTTATTACTCGTCCACTTCCGAGAGGATGTTCAATCGTAAAGTGGCTGAAGACGAATACGGATGTTTTTTTTACAAGTGCGATATGAGTCTCTGTGTAAATCATCATTTGTTGAATCATCGTCATACAATTCGAAGTCTTTAAACAGTGAAAAAGAAGCTATTCCGCTTTGTTTAGTGTTTTATTTCATTTATTTCGTATAGTTAAGGGCAAAGTATGTAATATTTTTTTGTTTAATTGTATTTTTATGACAATTTTTTGATTAAAAAAAAACGTAATAATTTATGAACAAAATTTCGATGCAACAACAACAAAACGATCGATCATATTGAAAGTACATATGCATAAAACGTTGCAACGAATACGCGTAAATGTAAACTGCCCGAAAAGAAAAAATCATATGATTTATGAAGCTATTCCTTCGCCTTAATGATTAATTTCATTTAACCTTGCGGCCAATTTACAATCGAAGCATGCGACTCGAGCCAAAAAAAGCAGGCGATTCGATGAAATTTCAACAAAATATCCGAAGATTTGTGTGTGAATTTCATATGTACTATACGTAGGGTTCAGTTTTTTCTTCTCTCGTTGGCAACAGCAAGAAAAACGGGTTGAATTAAATCAAATGTAATGAAGACGGTTGCAAGATTGCTTTGAAAACATATACACACATATAAATACATAAATTAAATTACCATCGTCGAGCTGCCGAATTTTGTTTTATTTCATTTTTTTATGAAATATTCATTTTGATCCATAATTTTGAATGTCGACGACAAAGAAGCAACAGCGGCTTCAAAAACTCGATTAAGTTTGTATAAATATTGTTAAACAAAAGCCACATTGGCCGAAAAGGGAAGGGAGTGAGCGGGTGAGTGAGCGATCGAACGACGCGAATGAAATTTCCAACGAATAAAACCAGCTCATAAGGAGAAATAAAGATCAATTTATACACCTTTCGGGCGGCAAGTTCGATTCTCATGGGTCTGACGTTTTTTTACTTTCATTTTAATCTACATTTTGTTTATGCAAAATCGAAAGCCAGATGATAATGATGATTGATTAACCAAAAACTTTTCGGCTATTTTTCACCTTTCCTCGCTTTGCTGTCTCTCTCTCTATCTCTCTCTCTCTCTCTCTCTCTCTCTCTCTCTCTCTTTTCTTTTCGGTTCGGGAGGCTTGACGCCAAAATAATTTTTTGCAAATTCGATCGTACGAATAATTTCAACAGGCCGTTTTCTGTTTCAAGAAATGCTTGCACCAAACATTGGGTATTGAGTTATTGCATTTCAAAATGTAACATTTATACAAATTCTGGTTTAAGTGCAATTCGCATGTGGCAAAGCCTATTTACCAAAGTGAATGAAGGTTGTCAGTGGTGCATTTTTTTTCTTGTCCAAATTTATTTTTAGTTTGGTCTTAATCACTCATATGAGTGAACAGCATATTTAGTGACGTCAATACATGATTTGGGTGGCAACAACCATGTCAATCCATTACATTTAACGCATTAAATTCAGTCTTACAAATAATGAGTTTATAATTTGTTTTTTTTTTTTTTTTTTTTTTTTTTTGGTATAATTGCAGGCTCCCAGCATAGTGGCGCTATCGAGGAAGATTTTGGCACCGCTCACGATTTACAAAGTAACAAAAGTGATTTAAATATATCGATCGACGCAGATCCGGAAGCAAGTGACGACGAAGGACGCATTGAATTTCAGTGTCCTGAGTGCGAAAGGCTGTGCGTCGATCTCGAACAGTAAGTAACATTTTCTTTCTTGTGTGCCCCGATTTGTTCCCATCAGATTTCATTGAAAATTCGTTCACATAAATTCAAAGAATAAAACTTCAAACGATGCGTAGTTATTCATTTTCAAAAGTAAAGCAACGCCCTCAAAACGAAACACAAATCAATTGCTATAGCCATACACTGGTAATTGATTGTTATTTATCAAATATTAAACAAATCGTCAAAGCGCCGTCGTAAATAGTAATTTAGTGTTTATTTTTTCTCACCGAATTCCGAATACACGGTACTTAACGATGTTAATCGTGTTGATAGTGGAAATAATAGCGGGCCTCAATGCAAGTAGGACTCGACAACATTTCAGTTTGATGACAATAAGAATCAATTGAAACACGATATTAGTGTACAGTGTACACATCAAACAAAGGGATTGAATGTTAAATAGTTGCATCGACGGCGGAAAAAGTACAATATTGTTGTTGTTATTTTCCTCTCTACAAAAATGATTTCGATGTGGTCAATTGAAATGTGTCATGTGTTTTTTTTAGTTCATTTATGAGGGTTGTGAAGGAAAAAAGTGTTGATAACCCGTTTGTAACGTCTAACTAAAGCGTTGATTTTCCCAGGAAGAAAATTCTTCCTTTTCAATCACAAAATTCGAATAATTTTTTCGGCTGTAGTAATTACAACTTGTGGCTTTGTGCTCGCCCATTGCTTGATGATTTTTGGTTTTTTGTCTTCGTTGTCGTTTATTTTGTTTGCTGGTGGTTGAATTTGTGTAAGCCACCGCAGTGAATATACGAGGAAACATTGAGATATGATTAACAAGCAAACACATAGTCGGATCGGTGATTACACACGTTTTTAATTGTGTTCTGCCAATTAATTGTACCGTTTAGCTAAACGATCATTAAACAGGCTTAAATGCGAATTTGTATCTATTCGACAGCCTTAAAAGTGCCAACACATCAAGCACATCGCAATCAAAATCGCTTGGCTGTTGTTATTGATGTTGATTTTGTGGTTTTTTCTGCTCGCAACGCGACAACAGCACCGCGCGTAGTTCAACACGCAAAATTGCACTGAATCCAGTTTCGTCGTCATCGTCGTCGTCGTCTTAATTTACTCATTCACTGTCAATACATAATAATCGCGATGAATGCTTTTAATTACAGTTTTGTGCCGCAATAAGATTGCTATGCTGTGTGTTCCAGTTGAAGTTGTTAATGCGCGACATATCATAAATTGTGTATTATACTATTTACATATTGTCATGTTCATGTACAGTGCGTTTACAAGCCATAACTTTTGTGTTTTCGATGTATGACTCTTTTTTTTCACTCTCGCTTTATTTTGCCGGCCATTTAAACAAATGACATGGACTACGATGAGTGTGTGTGCGCGCAATGGCAATGATTATATGTGATATTTGTGTTCATTTATTCACATCGTCACATCACGCTGGTCTGCCCGAATGTTGAACACGCATATTCAATCAATTTTTGAATCTCCCAATGTACTCAATAATTTTTTTTCTCTCCTCTCGCTTAACCAATAATTATTCGATAATAATTATCATCTTTTTAAAAGGTACATACACACAAACGTTCGGGACATAGCATATGTGTGAAAGAGAGAGAGAGAGAGAGAGAGAGAGAGGGCGCGCGCATTCGTGCGTACAATTAGTGAATAATTGCAACTACTATGACTACCTTTACTGCGTCAAATCAAAGCTTCATGAAAACAAATGGCTGTTCGGATGCTCTTTTGAAGGTTTTTTTCGTGAATGCCTGCTGCTTTTGCTATTACACATTTGCGAGCGTTCATACAGTGCTTTGTATGTTCGTTTGTTTGCTTTGTTGGCGTAGATGTACTAACAAATAAATATCGAAAACGCACAAATCATTGCTTTTTTTTCCACTCATAATTGGAACGGTGTGTGCGGCCGATATTTCACGTTCGATTCGATCAGCAGCGGTGCTAGCATTTTTCACTCGATTTGCATTCACTTTGTCGCAAGCCATGTGCTTTTTCTCTCTCTCTTTGCAATCTCATTACACATTGTCAACAACTGTGAAGCAAAGGTGCTCACATGTGTAGAAGGATTCAAATGGCCTACTAATCTGTAATATATAATTTTCATTGTTACTCGTTGTGTATATCAAACACACAGCACAACAAACGATCGTTCTTGTAATAATTTCAATAATGTTCTCTGTCGTCTTTTTCTGTCGTCGTTGTCGCCGTCGTCATGAAAACGAACGCGATCTTGATCAAAATCTGATGTGCGTGTAATTGATTTTTGTTGTTGCCGTTGCTGTTGCTACACGTACACGTCCAAAGTCATCACAAATTGCATTTAAACGCAATTACCGCGTTTATGTATGCACCGCATCGATTTTGATTTACCAAACCAGATCCATATTCTCGATCAATCTAGCTGATTTTCGGTTCAATTAAATTATGAAAATGTTGTTCAATTCGCGAGTGTTGACAAATTAAGACAGCTGAATTTTTAGTGGATACGATTTTTTTTCTCTCCTCTCGTCTCCTTCAAAATGTTACGTTGCGAATGGCGGTTTGGCTGGTTTGTACACGCTGATTTGTGCAGCAATGCACCACAGCCATATGGCCGATATATTCACATGACCCACGCAAACATTGTATGATTTGTGGCAAATATAATTTAGTCTTTTGTCAAATGTCGCCGTATGTAGTCCGATGGAATACAGTTCATTTTTGCAGATAGAGAACCTAATAGCTAGCGTCCATATAGTACACTTACATACATATTCACGATTGATGCGGTAATTCAACTTCGATTTTCATTCAAATGAACCGCGCGGCCATCCAATCAATGTGTATCGTTCGTCGTTGAAACTATATTCATCAACTTTATATTAACGAGATTTTGAGCCGTTCCACTCTTTCGACACAACACACAAAAGCATGAAAAAAAAACTATTTATTAGACGAAAAGAAAGAGGAAAAAAAACAAGCTAAAAGGCGTAATGAGTATCCATTAAATCATTTTTCGTCGCCATTGAATTGAGATATCGCTTCAAATCTTTGTCGCACATATTAACTGATCAAATATGCGATATTGGCGCTATTCATGTTGCGACACCCATCACATGCTCATAAAAGTGGTTTTGGAACAGAAAAAAAAATAAAGAAATGTGTGTCATCAAATAATGAATAGCGTCGCTTCGCGTGTCAATTGGCCATTGAGAATCCTCCGAATGCTTGGCACTACAATTATGGACGAATCGAAATTAAAAGGAATAAAAATCAGAAGTGCATGAATGCGCACAACCAAATTGGCCTTAATAAAATTCCATATCTATGGCTTTAATCGCGCTAGTGTGAAAGATTTAAATAAAATCATGTCCAGTTGCCCGGTTGGAGTGGTTTGATGTAAATTAGTAGGAAATGCCGTTGTATAAAACATTGGCTGTGGATTATTTCGCTTCGTGTGTGTGTGTGTGTGTGTACGAAGTGAAGATACACAACATTTCGCTTTCAACATGACAAACTTGCATTTTTCCACATCTAATTCTATTATTCTAATTTAAATGGAAAATCTATTCGATATATTATTGTCTTTTGACATGCTAAATCACACAAATGCACATTAAATATTAATCGCATTCGTGTGCAGTTTGCATGAAATGAAAGTATTGTTGAGCGCTGTAGGTTTTAAGTGAAAAAAAGAAATCATATTTTAATGATTTTGCTTTCTTTTTCCGTTTCCCCTCAATCTAGACTTGACAGTCATTTGATCTTGTGTCACAACTTTAAAAAAGACAATTATCGTTGCGAACATTGTTCGCAAGGTTTTTCGCATCGCCCATCACTTCTGCGACATAAAGCATTGCAACACGGTGAAGTTCGGAGGTTTCCTTGCGAAAACTGCTCAAAGGTAAGTGCAAATGGATTTCTCTCTTTTCGATTTGTTTTGGATTTTCGATTCTTCGAATTTCATTCAGCGAGTGATATGTAGAAAGAAACGGTTCAGATTTCGCAATTCAACGCGTACAAATAAGTATATCCAGAACATGAAGATAATTTATTCAAAGTACCAATCGACAGAAGGTGATAATAATCAGATTTTAATTTCGTGTTTATGAGCATGTATGTTTTTAAATTTTATCATGTATTTGATTCGACCGAAGGAAATCAATACTCACTTAACAGTCAGCAGAAAAAAAAAGAAATGTTTTACATGAATCGGTTTTGTGTGTGGGAATTTGGGTCAAATGCCACAAAGAAGCAAAACAAGAACTTAATCCAAACGGCACACACAACTACTCAGTTCAGTGCTGGCTGCGAGTGAGAATCGCAGAGCGCGCATAAAAAACGATGTGCGAAAAATCACCATAAAAGAGGGAACAAGCTCTCCGACTTTTGAAACTGTGTGCTGTGCTGCTGCTAAGACCGTCGCAGTGTTTAATCGATTTTATCGATCGCATATGTGGAATATTTTTCGCGCATTCAAACCCAAACCGAACAAACGCGCAAGATCATGGATCTCTTTCCCTCGTACGAAGCAACGAAAATATTTGCGCCCATAAATCTTGATATAAATTTTAAAACAATTTACATATTTTAAACCGTACTCAGTACTCACATACACACAAACATACGCAAAAGATCTATCAGGCGATCCGAAGCCAATAAATAAATCGTTTATCGCAAAATCAACACGGCGCGCGAAATTGATCAAAACTTCGGTATCATTTTCCGTATCGATTGCGTGTTTCTCTCTCTCTCTCTCGCTTGCTCGCTCGCTCTGTTTTCCCCTGCAGCGTGGACACTCTATCGATCTCATTCTTCAATCTCACGGGTTATTTATGTTCGTCGTGAAGAATTTGGTGTTAAATTGAAAATTCGCTTTCAAACATTCCACATTTGCCTCAATGAGCTATATTCATTGGGTCTCTCCCCATGAGCTATATCCATCGATCGATCTATCGAAAGGGAATGAATCTATTGACGTTAACTCACTGTCTAACCTTTCATCAAAGCGCACCAAATCTCTGCGGCATTCTATCGTCTATCGCGTCGGGCTACCCAAAAATGAAAATCGTTTCACCCGAATGTCGACAAAACTCAAAGACGCTCTTGCTCTTGCTCTGAAATGAATCGTGTGCTGCTTATTGTGCAAATGAACGAAAAAGAGTACAATTCATAGAAAAGATTAAGTAACTGACAGGCGCGAAAAAAGACATTTCTGTTGGAAACACGTCGATATGATTATTCAACACCATCGCACAACTGTTTTCATACTGATTACCGTAATCGTTGCACCAAAACAGGAATTCTTCTTTTTTCGTTTTGATACATTTATTTTCAAAATACAATTCCAAATATTCGAGTTTTGTTTTTTCGGTATTCACGAAGCATAGAAAAAAAAGATTTTTTTTCGTTCATTCCATCGTCGTCTTCTTGTAAATGCAAATTTATAACGTTAATTCGAGTGTGACACGTGTTTTCCAAAGGCTGTTATTTATGACTCGATTTTTTCTTCGTCTCTTTCAATTTCTGTGGAAAACGAGCAGAAAAAAATCGCGACAAAAGTAAGAATAAAAAGATGACAAAAATCAGATGAACACGAACGATTTCATCCGAACGGGTTCGTGCTGTTACCAAATGACATCGCAAGTCACCCAATGAAACGAGTTCAGTTGAATTCGATTCAGTTTTTTTTTCTACGCAGAGCGAAGAAAAAAAAACAATTTGATTTCGACTAAATCTTAAACAAATTTTCAATTTATGAATAGCTTCCAAGCAGTGTGCGCACAAGCCAGCCCGAATCAAGCACATGCATACACTGTGTGTAGAACCATTGCGCATAAACTGGCTAGAAACCGAGCCAACGATAAATCTAAACGTAGCTCCGGAAAAGTCGTAGTATTTATGAACTGCAACGATTGCTTTGACGGCATCATAATTTTGCTGCGGTGTCACATTCAATATTAACCAATCAAAAACGAAAGCGAAACTTTGTACTCGTTGCATCGTGTGTATGTGTGTGTATATGTGTGTACTACGAACCGTTTTCGCATAGAAACTTTGGAAAACTAAAATCGTTGCTCAATTTGCGTTGCATACTCGCGACCGCATCCTTGCAAATGTAAATCAAAAAATATAATAATAATTTGTTGGCTCCCTCGAGATGAATGCAATTCCAAATTGTCTGTCTGTGTAGTATGCAATACCTTTTCATATGCAAAAAAAAAATGTATTCTACGTTTGACTTTTTAATTTATGGACGATGAGTGTCTGGATTTGGTTTTTTTTTCTTCGACTCTGCGGTGGATTTCATTGAAAAACAACATCGTCATTTGCCGCAATCAGCTCCATAAATTGTACAATTTTTGTTGCACTGCTTTTTTTCTCTCTTCTCTGAGTTGTTAGCTAGAAGTCTCTCGGTTCCGTTTGCTTTTATTTGAGTGCATTTGATTATATTATATAAAGCGCATACGAACAAATAAAACGAGATGAATTTGTCATGAAGTCGTGACATAATTATTTAATATTTGTGTATCGTTCGGAGCTTACTAGTGACATTTGATCCGAATCTCGTTCGCAAAATCTGCATATTTCCATGCCATGCCATGCCATGGCATGGCATGAACGCAACGAATTTTGCCTTGATCAGTGCTGTGAGGCGAAGGAGTTGTGTGCACCGCGTACACATTTTTGTGATTGCATGTAAATTGAAGGCCTGAATATTGTTTATCTTTGGAATAGCTGGAAGACCACTTGATTCAAACCCAGAACACACAAAATTAAGATGGTTTCGCGCTTCTTTTTCTTCCATTGCTTCTGGTTTGATAGCACTTATGCATCTCTCCACTCAAAATGACCAGCAAATTGGATAGCGAAGCGTAAAAAATCGAAAAGTAATTCGGGACAAACAACTTTAATTTGAACATGGGTGCACTGATCAATTCAAGGAGAGAGAAGAAAAAAGGGAAAATTTCATTTTAAATCGATCAATTTGTTGAGATCAAGAATGAAAAGTTGTTGGTTTTTCATCGCTCTGCCCCTGTACTTTACATTTTGAACGATTGAATAATTTTTTCTTTGTTTCTTCTGATCGGTCCGGTCCGGTCCGGTCCGTGTTTCTTTTGTGTAAATAAACGGTATAAATTCGCCGAGTAAATGAATGGGCGAGTACAAAAGACATTCCAATTTGCGCGTGTACACATTTTTTACGCGTGGTGTATACACGTCTCTCTCTCTCCCTCTCTCTCTCTCTCATTCGCTCGCATGTCACTCTCGTTCTTGCAATGCGTTTCGATCGGCGTTGTTCGCGTTCAGTTCAGTTCAGTTCACCGATTTCGATTTTACTTCTCTCGCTGTAATGTTGTGCTTCGACATTGTGCGATCGGCTTCTTTCTTCATTTCATTTGCGTTTAGCATTGTTGTCTCTTTAATTAGGCAGGAATGAGAAAGGGAAATTGTATTTAAACAATCGAAAACATGATCGAAAACACGATGCGTAGCAACAAAAAGAAATCTTGTCCGATGAACATGGAGAAAAGAGAAGAATTACCAAAATGTGTATCACATTGTATTAGGCTTGTCTCTCTTTCTCTGTGCGGGGCTGCTTGGTGATCGCTTGCACGGCAACCGAATCGATCTCAAAAGAGATTTTTAATTAATGATCGTTTGCGTATTAAATCGATTGTTAAGCGAACTTCTTGAAATTGGATCACATTATTTTCATCAATTTTTTTTCTCGTCTCTTTTGATTGTTCATATGTATGCGGAGTCGCTGTGTGGGACCACACATTTTGATCACTATTGACGCGCGTCTATATTTGGTCTTGATTCTATGTATGCCTAGCATTTTTCTCACTGCAAAATTATTTATCGTTGGATTTTCGATTTTTGTGTGTGTCTTTTCACTCCATTCATTTCGATTAATTTCAATTTCAAATACTGAAGAATCATTGCGCAAACATGAACGAATCGAGTGGACGCGAAATAAGTGAAGACAAAGAAAAACTGAAATACAATCGTCCAACTGACGAAAATACACACACACATGCCGCTAGCAGATCGGAGTGGCGAGCACTCGCGTGGAAGATCTTGTTTTAGAAACCGGAGACACATTTTTTATGGACGGATTTTGAGCCGCCATCGCCTAACTTATTGTGTCTGGTCATGAGTGTTTGTGAGGTGATCGCCTGGAATAAATGAATCTACGAAGAGAAAAAAAATGAACGCAAACGCAATCCAAACCAAACCAAACCAGTTACATTCGAAACGGTTTTGACATCAATAAGAGGAACAATCGATCGTAGGCGTTGTAATTGGATTAATCAAATTTTAATTTGGACTTGTAACACGTATTACATTGTCTACAATTTTAATGGTGTACCACCGCTGATTGATTTATTTCATAGAGCTTCCCTAATATCCGGATTTCGGAGACGGACCTTATGAAATCAATTCAATTACAATCGAACAAATCAAATGTGACACCGTCAACGACGATTTCGTAAACTAAGCTGTTTGCCTGTCAGTCACATTGGCATTGTTGTTTATCTCAACGGAGTTGCAACAAATTCGTCTTTGGTACTGTGCAGTTCACGTGCAAACATCGCATTTCCGACGAGGAAGTGCAAGAGCTGTTGTACGTCGAGATTTTTTTGATTAAAAATTAACGTGAAAATGTAAACAACATTTACGATTCATTGCACAATTTTCGACCAAAACAAAACAATAATAACAACTTCAAAGCCATTTTTCAACACTTGACTTGGTCAGAGGTCTCGTCGAATATCGCGGGCAAGGCTCACTGATTAAGCCAGCTATACGGAAGCATGAGTGAGATAATTTTTTTAGACATTTGAGCCTATAAAAATATTTATAAACAACGAGCAAGAGTCTTCGTAAATATGTGCAGACAGTGAAAAAGAACCTGAATCAAAAATGCTTTTTTTCACCGTTTTCTTTTGCCCAGACGCCCGTATGACTCGTATTCAAATGAATAAAAATTTCGCTTTTTTGAGATTCGATGTGTGTTGTTTTTTCCATAGCTTTGGACCAATTGTTATTTTCACGTTCGCTCCATGGCAAAAAGAAATACTTGTGGCCATATGCATACATGCGGCCACATGTTTTGCGATCGTATAAATTATTAAATCTGAAAAATTTATATGCTCAACAGGATTAATAACATTTATATCGATATCATGCTGTGATAATTATTAATTTTTTTTTGTTATGCCAAACCCGAAAAATCAACCAAGCAACGAACGGGCCGAACGGAGAAGGAAAACTTATTGAGTGTATGTATTTATGGCTGGGTATGAAATAGCCGACAGCCGTACTATGAGCGCATGCTTCGCCTCAATCGTGCTTCGCTTAAACGTTTTCACAACGCTGACACATTGAATGGATTCGCAGCGGAATACCGAATTAGCCAATGTGCTGAGAATTTAGCCGCCAAAAATGGGTGAGATTGGAGTACGAACAGTGTCAAGTGCCATATCATTTATGCTACTTATTTCTCTCTGTCTTTCAGTACTACTAGCCACACACTGATCTCACGCTTGATCTGTTTGCTGTCGATGTTTATTTTTTTCGGTTTTGGAGTTTTATATCCAGCCCAAAATATTAAATTAACATCGAGTACTGGCACAAAGAAAATGCATTTTATGCATAATGCATGGCTGAGCCGCATGCTGAAAACAACAATAAAAATACGCAATGGAAATTAAAAAATCAGTTGACGCGATAAGCGCTCACCATGTGCGTCGCTGATTGCAATAAAAAAACACCTCGTAAATCTGATGCCTGCCATTTTTCGGCGATTTTTTTTATTCGCTTGAAGTTTTGGTTTTAATTTCAATTTATGCACTGATAAAAAGATAATGAAAGTTATTTTTTTTTGGCTTGGTTTCACTGCACTTAAACGCAAAGAGTTACAGAAAAGAAGACGAAAACAAAAACAAAAAATAATCGAGATAAGATATTGTGAAAATTAGCCAGAGGAAATCCCCCTTTACTAATTTCGTTTTCAGTGTGGTACAACACTTTACATTGTTTTGGCTTTAAAATTAAATCTTCATGTGTTCGTACGTTTGGTGTGCTGGAGTAGTGCGGCAGCATTCAGTTGCTTCTTATCATATCGTGTGTTGGTATGCACAGCCTGAAGGACTATTGTTTATTTAATATACGCAATGATCTCAATTCCATCTTCTTGTGCTTCGGTTTCTCTTCAGTTGCCATGCTTTCCTTCATAATATTCTGTGGTACATGTACGAAATAATGACTTTGTAGGCCGCGATCCTACACCCGCGCGCGCGCGCTGAGCACCAATTCCATGCACAATTATGTAAAAATAGCGCGCGCATAATGGTCAATTTTCTCGTTGAAAGTGAGAAAAATGCACAAATTTAATTGATGGTTTAACCATTAAATGTCATTTCAGAAATGTTGACTTACCATTTATCCAACGTTGCTTTTTTTTCGTTCGCTCTCTTCAAAAAGCGGTTTAATCCTCACTCTCGTTCTTCGTTTCGATTCATGCGAACGCAGGCGGCGGCGTTCAATGCGTGTCATTCCGGTTCCTCGTCAAACTTTGATCTTATTTGGTGCATAAATGCATCGCATATCGTGTGTACATGTATTTCTCGGGCACATTCAAAATATTCGTGCCATATAAAAAAGAAATGAATGTTTAATGCTTTAAGTACAATGTTTTGGATTTAATATACGTAATTATCACTTGGATGTTGATGACTGAAGCGAGAGAGCGAACGAAAACAAAAATCACCGTATTTTGTGACAAGCAAATCGAAAAATTCAAAATGAAAAACGTCTTTGATTTCGATTAAAGGAAGGTGATAATTTTTCTCTCTCTCTCCCATCGATTATCATGCGTGTACAAGTGAAAAGTTGGCCGTTTCATTTTTTTTTGCAAAATGTAAGCTCGAATGTTATCAGCATGGATAATCCGAAGTGATCGCCACGTAACCTCTCAAGGAAACAACTTCATAAGTAGCTGTTTGACTTTTTTTTAAATCAAAAAAATATTGTCAAAATGTCATGCCCGCTTGCCACATGTCCAAATGAGACTATGAATTTGAGTTCTAGACACCTAGCAATAAGATTCTATGTTGTATAACGACAGGTTTTACAGCATTTATTGCATTTGGTGGGAGCGCCACAATAAAATCCACCTAAAGCCATGAAAGCGCATGAGGTTCGTGAGTGTCATGTGATCGAGTTAATTGAGCACAAATTGCAGCAACCTTTAAACTGTGGCAACTGACACATTGTCTTTATTATTTTCGAATATATATATCTACTGGAACCGTAGAATTGATGTGTAACCTTGGTGACCGCCGCTGCCGCGTACACATTTTCCAACTTTTGACAATACATTTTAATTTTTCGGATCCAAAACATTGAATGCACTCATTTTAAATGAATTTGGACACAATGAAATTGAGCCAAAATGTACCGGAGCAACAATGGCCACCAAATTGGAACGAAGTGAATGAACAAACACACGATAATATTGAATTGAAAATTGTGCGATCCATTTAGGTCAATTCATAATCAATAAATTAGATCTGCGTATTGCGGCGATCGAAATTTCGTTTTCAACGTACTTTTGTTTTCATAGAAATGGGTTCAAGAAAACCATCTACCTTCGAAAGAAAGAAAGAAAAAAACAACAACACGTAGCCGACAGACGAAAAGAAACGAACGAGCCAACGAAATCGATGAATCAATAGGCAAGAAACATCAATTGAAGACTGTGGTGCGTGCGTCGCAAGCGTTCGTTCCGAGTTATATTGACCAATTTGTTTCTCCTTCGTTGTTCATCGTTGTTCGACAGAAGCTGTGCGTGTTTCGCAATTTTGACAGTAAAAGACACATTTTCGATTAGTTATGATTGTTTCATCATGCGTTACGATCGTTCCATATATTCGAAAATAACAAAATGCCGACTGATTATTGTCACCTCTAACAATAAAGATTGATCGATTGTCGTTTTTTATTCATAATTATTTGTGCGTTTTATTGTTCGATCTTTATCAACTGAACTGTGAGACATATTACTCTGTGTGCCTATTGTTATGAATATTTATGAGGAAGGAGAAGAGATTGTTGAATAATAATTGTTAATTTTTTGCATCTTGTTTTTTTTTCTGTCTGCAGGTATTCACTGACGCATCTAATTTGCAAAGGCACATTCGTAACCGACATAAAGGTGCCCGCGCCTATCCCTGCAGTGAGTGTGGCAAAACATTTGCCACTGAATCTGGTCGCAAACAACATACCCACATCCATTCATCGGTGAAACCGTTTCAGTGCGAGGTTTGCTTAAAGGCGTACACGCAATTCTCAAACTTGTGCCGACACAAGCGCATGCACGCCGATTGTCGTATGCAAATCAAGTGCCAGAAGTGCACCCAAAGTTTCAGCACGGTCACCTCGTTATCGAAACATAAGCGATTTTGTGATACGACATCGGGTCCACCATCCATTACATCTCAACAGCATTCAAATTCGCTATCATCGCCACCAAACAGTGCAACACATTCGAATCAATCGTTTTTGGGCTCACCTGTACCACAATTACCAATGGCTTCACGTCCAAATCCATTCTTGATGTTGCCCGGATCGGCACCATTCTTTACACCCGGTTTCCCACCATACACACCAGATTGGCAGCGCATTTTCCATCAAAATGGTGCCGCACAAACGCCATTCCCATTGCTGTTCCCAACGGCACAACATGCATTGGACCGGCCAACGCAACCCGAAGGAAAAACCCCGGTTCGATCATTGTCCGCTGCTCAAGAGAATTCAATCAAAGTGTCACCACCGACAGCCGAAGAAGCTTCAAGTAACTTAATACCGTCACCGAGTCGCCCGATCCCCATCAGCATGCAACATCCTTCGAAAATTTACAACAACAACAATAATAGCTCAAAGAAAAACAGCAACGAAGACAATTACATTCGAAATGAGCCGGTGCGATCGCCTGAACGCTGCCAAAAACGCTCGAAATCATTCTTGAGCATTGAAGAATTGACGATGAAGAAAGAAACCAAACGAAAAACCGATAATTCCGACTCGGAATACAATTCACCACCGAAACAACGAAAAATGTCTGATGCAGATGAAAAGGTAAATAATTCGTCAAAAGATCGATATTCCTTCGGTTCTTATTACAAAATATTAATCCGGTTTTGCTATTCCTTCATTAGGATACATCAACAGCATCTGAGCAACCGCTTGACTTGTCACTGAACAAAAGTTCCAAACGAAGTGAAAGTGCATCACCGGTTGAGGAGCCAAAATCAAAACTGTTCCGCGCTTCGCCAACGCCGTCACCATCGCCCGAGCCGTCCTTGTCATTGTCACCGTCACCACCAAATCCACCGATGGCATACCCACGACCGATTCATCCAATGCTTCTGGAAGCATTCTACAATCAACAACGCGGATTTCAGCGGCCGTTCCCCTTTTTACCCCATTTGACACGAGCACCCGTTGATATGTTGGGCGGTGGTGCGGCCTTTAGCAAACCCTTCCATGATGCCCTAATGGCAGCTGGTGCTGGATTTCCACCAAGCCTAAATAACAGCCATCACAATGGTGGAAAAGCTAAGGATCGTTATGCCTGCAAATTCTGCGCAAAAGTTTTCCCGCGATCAGCCAATTTGACGAGACATCTGCGCACCCACACCGGTGAACAACCATATCAATGCAAATATTGTGAACGATCATTCAGCATTTCCAGCAATTTGCAACGACATGTGCGAAATATTCACAATAAAGAAAAGCCGTATCGGTGTCATTTGTGTGAACGTTGCTTCGGACAACAAACTAATTTGGTAATTCAAAAATAAAAATAGCTTTAGATATCATCATAATTTCCCGTAAACATCAATGATTAAATTTTCAATTTACTATGTCCAGGATCGACACTTGAAGAAGCACGAAACCGATGTGAACGGTTTGGGGCTAAGCGCCGGTGATTCGCCATCATCGAACGAATTGGAATCCGAGGAAAACTGTTTCGACGAAATTCGTCAATTCTTTGGGAAGGTCACGTATTCAGAAGGCATATACACACCGAGCAGTGTTGCAACAGCCGAAGGCGGTGAAATAGATGACGGAAGCGACATTGATGCTGATATTGTTGTCGACAAAGAGCCCATTAACAATAACGAAGCCGTGGAAGTTTCGATTTAAGGAGCTTTATGCGTTTTATTTTCGGTCTCTCTCATTGATTATCTATGAAATGTAAATATCAATGTTGAAACTATGTTTGTTTTTAGCAAATTATATACCGATTGTTTGACCAAAATTACACTGGTTGAGGTCAAATTTGATGCAACAAATATACACCGCGCTGAAACATGAATAAGAATACACACACACACACTCTCTCTCTCTCTCTCTCTCTCTCTCTCTCTCTCTCTCGATATATACATATATTTGAATATATATATTTAATCAGGAATCTATACCTAATATCAATGATAGCACCAAACTAATTCATTCTGAATAGTTTTTGTATGCCTCTCATCAAATTTTATTGAGAGAAAATCTGTTTTATGAGCCACCGAAAATCAATTTTTATTTCAAATTTTAACAACGATCAAGAAGCCATCAATGATTTTCAGTTATACCAAGAATTCATTGCATGTTTGCACACAAAATTACACATTAATTTCCAAATAATATCTCGAAAGATGACAAAACATATTATTATCCTCTGAATGTATTACATACCTGCACATAGTTAACTAAGCATTCGCTAGAAATACCAAAACAATTAGGGCAAAAATCATATTGAAAAACAAAAGAATGCAAAAAAGAATCGAAGTAAAAAGACCAAAGGCATTACATTTAAACATTCTTTTATTCATTTTCTTTTGGTTAAAGGAACTTTTATCGAAAATTGAAGAGTAAACAATATTTTAGTTGAATTTTTTGTCATTAAAAGAAAAAATCGATCTTTCGGTTATAAGAATATTAACTCTTTTCTCGGCTCCTCTGGTCGAAGGAAGAGGTGACGAAATCCAATTGAATAGTTTGTACAGTAGGATAATAATAATGAATCAAATTCAAGTTAGAATAAAGCAAATTAGTTTAGCTAATTATATCTCTTTAATTTCTACAACTAAATTTGATTGCTTCAGTAGCTTCTATGATTTTTTACTCGTAGAAATTCAAAAGCGTGCTTAGACTGTAAGTGTTACAATGAAACGACAAAACAAAAAAAAACAACATAAATAATATGCGACTTTGATTTTAAGGGTCAAATAAAGGACGCTCATTTGATATATCATAGGTTATTAAAGTGAAAAACATCTAAATACACTAATGTAAACATCAAACGATTGTGTTTCTTTTTTCTTCGGCTTAACTATTTGAAATCAATCTCTCGCAAGCAACGAATTTGAGTTACATAACACACTGATTTTAGAGTTGAAGTATAAACCATTCAGAATATTTGAAGAGAAAAAAACACTTTTTTCGATTAGTCAATAAATGATGCTCCTTTAACCAACACACACACACATATATTCAATCAAATTTAATTCTTAAGCAAGTCTCATTTAAATCTAAACACTGTATTGATATTGCTATTCAAACATGTACATGCAATAAATGAATTTTTGAATCTAAAACCAATGACATTTTTTCCTTTGAGTTTCTTTCAGCGAGTTTCAGTCAAGGTTTGCAATTTTGAACTTAAAAAATGAATGGATTCAATTAAAAAGAAGGATTTTGTCTCATTCGCTGAAAATTGTGATTGAAATTTCTTAAATTGGGCCATTTATGTAATAGCTTCATCTACCACGACAGGCACTCCCGTTGAAATCGTTGGATTTGGATTGGTGAACGACAATTTATCGAAGAAACAACAACAAGAAGCAGATTGTTGCAATGCATGTAGCCAGCGATCGAATGTTCATTGTGGAAATGGTTGCACCATGTGTTTAAATTAAATTAAAATCGATTAATAAAAGAACAAAAAAAAATAACCGACGATGAATGAAGTCCAGCCAGCCCCATTCAAATAAATGAGACGCCGGTAATTTTTCTGCTCTTTTTTTCGCATTATGCAATTTGAATTCTCGAAATGAAATCAAAGCAATCAATTAAATGAGTGGACATAAAACGTTCTTTTCGGCGAAAATTGAAAAATAAAAATAAATAAAATTCCGCACATTAAAACCGAAAATTGGCAATTCAATCAGCGGGGCGAATGGCATCCAAGTATAATAACGCCACAGCAACAGCAGCAGCATTCAACCGAAAGAAATGCAATATCTGCGATGTCTACCGCAGCAAATGTGCTCCATATATATGTGAATATGCAGCAACGGTGAGTTGTTTTTTTTTGTTTGTGTGGATCCGTTCTCCAAATTGATTTCAATTAAATGAAAATGTAAAAAACGTAATTACGCTCATAAGTGGGAAATTTCACGTTGACCGGACCGATGGATCGAATAGGTCAAGTAGGAGCATGCATTTAGCATAATTGTGTGAGAGCCGTTTGGCTACCGCGCACAAACACACACACACACACATTGACGATTGTGTACGGCATGATGTTTTCGCCCAGGCATTTCAATCAACCAACTACAATATCAACTCGTGCATTACAATACAATGCGCGCAACGCGATGTGAAGGAAGCAAGAAGCGAAAAAAGAACAACAAAACGATCTCATAAATGTTGCTCTTTTGTAGAGCAATTATTCACCGCCATCATTGTGTTGTCGCCGAATCAAAACAGCATTTTTTGCTGATCTTTTTCTCTTTCTGTGTGTCTGTTACTGGGTCAACGTAAAATTAATATTCATTCAAATACAATTAAGTTCACTGGATTTTAAATTGAAATCACTTTTTCTCTCCAGATTCCCTTAAAAAAATTAATTGCACTCAATAAAATTCACCGTGAATTTGCCGAACAGCTACGTCATTCCACGTGTTTAATGCATCGCCAAATACACGATTCACATATGGTGGGAATGGGTTTCCAATGAAGTTCAATCTTCAATGTCTTATTGAAATGTCCGAAGAAGAAGAAGAAGAAGAAGTGGCAGAGAAGAGCACAGATGTTGAGGTCTTTAAAATATTTAGACAAATAAAATATCAAATGCTACAATCGTTAATTTAACCGCTCAAGCGGAATAAACAAAAATCATCAAAGAAAGTTCACTAGCCGAATATTTAAAAAAAACACCACAATCAATTTTGAGGCTCAACAAATCACCATGAAAACGAAACGGAACGGAAAACGAAATGAATGAAATAAATCAGGGGTGCAAAAAAAGCAGAAACGAAAATGCAAACAGCCAAAGCGAGAAATGGAAAACGCGCTGATCTGATTTAACGGGAAGAGTGTGTGCTGTGCGCGCTCGCTCGCTCGCGCACACCGAAAACCTTGAAGCGAAATTAATTAAATGATTAAATTGATTCGATAAATCGCGTTTAATTGGTGTTATTCGAAGTGTGGATATATCATTTCGGTGCTGCTTTTTATGGCCTGCTTTACTTCATTCTCTCTTTCTATGGCAATTTGAAGCCCGACTCTTTTTTCAGTCTCTCTCTCACAGTCACAACCATAATTTACATGCAAATTCCATAGAATGCAACCAAACGGTTATACACATCTTCAATGTTTCTTGGTCAGATTTTAAAGTCTTTTGTTGTCACTATTTGAATATTTCCGAATTTTGTTATGAAGAGGGGAAAACAATCTGGTCACTTTGTATTGGCGCAATAAATTGCATACATTTTAAGTTAATTCGATTACAGATATATCGGCATCGTTATCTCCAAAAAATACGTATGCTTTTAACTGTATCGGGTGGAGAGACAATGTACGGGATAATTACATGCTTGCAATGTAGATCACGAAACTTTTTGGAAGTGCATCATCAATATTGGGCCGCCGCCACCGCGGCCACGGACAATCCAAATACACCAAAAATGGTAAGTGATTGACATCAACACTTTGGGCCATATATTTTCGTGCAACACTTATTCTCTTCTCTCTCTCTCTCTCTCTCTCTGTGTGTGTGTGTGTGTACTTTATGTAAGCGTTGATTCTGTTGCGGCAGCTCTATTTCAATACGGCTTCAATTACAAAGAATCATGATGATTAACGGTACGACTTTATAATTACAACAAATTGGATGGGTTACGCTAGACGAAGCAATCGCATTCCAGACCGTGAATCGCGTTCAAAAAAGAACGGATCATTTTGTGAACACATGTAAACACATTTAAAGGAGGGTTAAATTAATGTGTTTAACAAATTTTTCCGTAAAATGGCATTTAGTTTTGGTGTGGAAATCATAAAAACGAGCCAAATTATGGAATTAAATAAGGATAAAAAGAAACGTAATAATTGGTCGGTGAATCTGCCTTGCAATAAGCCGACACTTTCACACCAACTAAAATGAAAAACGAAGATAATAAGGCAAATTACAGCCGATTCGCCACAAACAAGCGCGCATTCGAGCGATATGTTGGAATGTCGGTAGGACGTGTTTACATCTGTTTCGATGCCATGTCTTATGTTCGTATTGTTCGTATGACTGACACGCAACAACAACTGAAACGCGATGGAATTGTGTTTTGTGAAACGATTCAAAGGAATTTTGGTTCCTTTGTAGCAGATAAAATGCAGCACAATTGGTGAATCTCTTCGTTGCTCACATCGAGATGAGACCTTTTCGCCAAATGAACCACATTTTTACTTTCTCAATTTCAATTGCGAATCGTCCACATTCATTTGAACGGCATTCGGCAAAGACAAAAATGGAATTGCCCTGACAACCATCGCTCCATTTCTGAATAACGAAATGGAATTGTTTGCAACGCGCAAATAATCGCCTGATGTTTTACACCGTTTTTGGTAACGGTTGGCAAGTGAAAATATGCAGCGAGCAATTCCCGTGTCAATCTGAAACACAGAAAACTTAACTGCATCGGGCATTTTTCATATTCGTTGGATTTTTGTCGCATCAAGAATAATATAATCGCTATCGTTGTCAACGCGAGACTGACTGCTTGCCGCTGGTTTCTCTCTCCATCTCTCTCTTTCTTTGCTCATTGTTCTCTCTCATTGACTGTTGGCGAAATGCATTCAGGCATGATAAATAATTGAACCGAAATTGAACCTGTTGCAGTTCTAAAAAAACGACAATTTTTTTCGATCGAGGCAACATTTAATTTAAACACCAAAACGAACAACATTGGAATGGATGTCAGAATTTGTACTGAATGACGGTTGTACAACATTATTACCTCTCACTTTGGACTTTATATACGCTGTGTTGCGCGCGATATTGTGCGACACACTCGATGCCACATTTGGTTGACTCTTTACTTTTTTTTTCTCGCTTGATTGCCGCAATTTCATCGCTCTCCTTTTTTTCTGGTTCCCTGTATCAGTAATGGTCAGTGGTTTCCCTCACGAGCTCCTGGCTACTCATATTACGCTACTCAGGTGCACATTTTGTATTGTTGTCGCTTTTAATAGCCAAAATTGAACGCACTTGGCAAATGACAACATAAATATTCGATCATTCGACGCAATCGAACATAAACGATATAAATACATTTTCAACATTTTGTTTCACTTTTTTTTCATGTTTTTTTTTTAGAATAGACATCCAATTTTTTTGACAATCACACGCCCAAAACTGGCTTTTTGTGGGACAAACCAACCACGTTCAATAATAAAAAAAGAATGATCACATTCGCATTAAATTGTTGGAGCTGCGTTTAATCTCGTAAGACAATGAGAAAAACATGACCACATAAACGTCGTCGTCCCCACAATTGCATGCTTTCATTTTAGCACATTAAAAAGAACTGCGACTGAAGCAAAATCGCACAAAAACGAAAGACGATTTTTACTCACGTTTCCAATTCGGAAAGAATCGATTTTGAAATCAGGAAAAAAAGTCCTCACGCAACGTAAAACCATTAATGTTCATGGAAAATCAGCAGCGCAATTAAAAGACATGCATATCGGAGCAGCATCACCACAAATTGTTCATTACCGAAATGCATTGGTAGCTAAATGTGTCCCAACAATCGAAATTCGTTAATTCAACTGACAATGCTCACACGACACAACGAAATTCCGTACGCAATCGAATGTAATTCCATTTAATTCGATTCTTTTGTCTTATGTTCGAATGAGGAGCCAAAAAGGAAAATGGGAAAACGCTTTCAATAACCGCCTATTGAGTGTCTTTATTCAATTAGTGCAAAACTCATTTAATTAAATATTGAACAGGGCCAAAGAAATGCAACGGTGAAACCGCAACGAAAAAATCGCTTTTGTCTTCGAGCTATGAAACCGTTTTTCAGACGATTGTTATCAGTGTTTGACACTTGTCTAGAATTATGTCCATCGAGATAATTCGAGATTTATGCCATTCGACACAGACACGGCACAGGCACCACAACGCAAATGGAATGCATCGCACAATTTTCATGCAATTAATTTGAAACGAATGAAAAACGAACGCTATTTATGGAAATTTAATGAGAGTTTTCAGTCGTCTCTCATTAACGTCCCAACGACGCATTCATTGAACACAATAAGATATATATGGCGATTGCATAAGCAACGAAGGAGAAAAAAATGCGTTGCACACACAA